ATCCTCATGTAATAATGCATTCTTAACATCCATCTACTTTAAGAATCAGCATTTAGATGCAGCAATAGATAACATCAGTCGGATAGTTGTCATCTTAGCCACAGGTGCAAATATTTCGTCATAATCAATCTCGTATTCCTGTCGATTGCCAAGAGCTACAAATTTTGCCTTATATCTGTCAAGAGAGCCATCAGATCGGAATTTAAGAGAATAAACTCATTTATAACCAATGGGTTTAACACCTGTAGGACATGAAACAATATCCCAAGTGTGATTGTTTTGAAGTGCCTGAAGTTCCTCTTTCATGGCTTTGACCCAACAAGTCTGTTTAGCAACTTGAAAGTAAAATAGGAACAGTAGCATTAGTTAAAATTGCAGAATACCCATATCTATCTGGAGGACGGATACGTCAGGTTGATCGTCGAATACTTATTGGAGCAATTTCTGGATCAGGGTCGGGGAGGATTGAAGGTGAAGGGGGCAGGCGTCGTGTGTAGACAATGTCTGGCTTAAACCGTTTATCAGCAGAAGAATTATCAAATTGTGGAAGTATAACTGTATCTGATGTGGACACATGCTGAAAGTAATATTCATGTTCAAAGAAAATCACATTTCGAGAAATATGTTATCGACTATTAATCGAATCATAACACACAACATTTATGATTAGTATTGTACCCCATAAAGGCACATCGGACTGACTGAGCTGCCAATTTATGACTTTCGTGAGCAGGTATATGAACAAAACAAACACATCCGAAAGTATGTAGCGTATGATAATTAGGGTGTTTATCAAAAACTCGATAGTAGGGAGACTCGAACTTCAATTGTTGAGATGGTAGGCAATGGATAAATTGTAGTTGATAAAGCTTCAGTCCAAAATTTAGCTGGAACAGAAAATTCTATCAGTAATGTGTGCACGGTATCCAATAGATATCGATTTTTTCGTTCAGCAACCCCATTTTGCTGCGGTGTATAGGAACATGAACGTTGTGAAACAATACCTTTGTTCTGGAGAACTGCTTGAAACTCATGAGACATGTATTCACCGTCATTGTCAGATCGTAAGGTTTTAATGCGAGCGGAGAACTGAGTTTCAACATATGCTAAAAATATTTGGAATACAGTAACTACTTCTGTTTTGGCACCCAAAAAATAGATCCAAGTAAATCGACTGTAATCATCAATAAATGTCACAAAATATTTATATTGAGCATGTAAAATAACTGATGTACTTCCCCAAACATCACTATGAATAATGTCAAAACATTTATTGGCACGACTGCCTGAAATAGAAAAAGGTAATGTCTTGTTTTTTCCAAGTTTACAAACAGAACAATCAACTACTAAATTCTTATCGGTAGAACAAAAAACGCCACTTTTATGTAAATGCTTCAACATCATATCATTTGGATGACCTAGTCTTTTATGTCAGATGTCTGTCTTATTTTCAACAACTGAAGATGCTAATGAAATATTCTGAGGAACAATAAATTGTAATGAAAACAGTCTGCCCACTTTAAGCCCCTTCGCTATCACCTTTCCCGACACATGATCCTGCACAATACAACCATCACGAGAAAAATGTACTTCACAGTTATCCACAATTTGACCAACAGAGAGTAAGTTAGTAGATAATTTAGGAGAAACCAAAACATGTTTGAAGGAAGAGTTAATATCACCAACTGTCGTAATTAGAATATTATTTCCATCAGCAACCTGAATATGTTGAGTACCAGTGTACTGTCGTTGGTTATGCAATAGCTCGATAGTGCTAGTCATATGATTTGTGGCGTCTGAATTTACAAACCGGGGAGAAGTAACTGAAGAAATAGTTTTACCTTCATCTTGAAGGATGAGAGCAGAAAATGCAGCGAGAATCATCTGTTGAACCATATAGGGTGTGATAGTTGATTCATTATTGTCAGCAACAGTAGAAGTCGAGGTAGGATTGTCGGATACCGTGGCATGAAGTGCTTGTGGTTTGCGATTTTGGGGTCGTGTTGGGAACTTCGTAAGAGTATGTCCCTTTTGCTTGCAATAATTACATACCTTATTTTCACAATTTCGTGCAATATGACCAAATTTCTTGCAGTTGTAGCACTGTACTGGCCCCTTCCCTTTGGTCTTAGCAACATATGCCACATTAATTATTTCTGATGATCCACCTGTTGTACTGATAGTAGCTTGTGTAGCCAATCTTTGTTCTTCGCGCAGTAATTGCCCAAAACGAACATCCAAACACGGAACCGGATCTCTGTTCAGCAACCAAGTTCGAGCAATTTCAAATTCAGGTCTCAGTTTCATTAAAAACTGATCACGACGACTTTCTTCATGAATGGCTTGAAGACTAGCTAAGTTCTCCTTTGACACTTTAGCATAGATAATACCAGTATATTCGCTCCATAAATTTAAAAAACCAGAATAATATTGTTCGATTGAAAGATTACCCTGACTATAATTACTTATGTCAAGTTCCAATTGAAAGCGTTTCGCAGAATTATCTTAATTATAAACGCGCTTCAAGTATTCGCACATTTCTTTAGCTGTGCCAAAGGATCGTAAATTGTTCACCATATGAGCCTCAATAGATCTCAAAATCCAGAAAACAATTTGAGCATCATTTGTTTCTCATTGACCAAGATCTTTTGTCTCAGTAGGAGCTGGGAAAGATCCATCAATATGGCCCCAAAGCTCCTTCCCTTTTAAGAACATTCTAAGCTGAAATTCCTATGCGGCATAATTTTTTTTTTTTGTAAATTTGATAGCTAAGTTTTCAGAAAACATTTTAAATATATTAATCTCGATCGAAATATCCAAGATAAATAAAATTCAAATCGAAAGCCTAGAATCGAAGATCGAAAATCGAAGAGCGCTGCGAAGTTTGAATCAGTTGTGATCGTGACGATCGAACGGAGTGGATCATCAGATTGGAGAGAACGAGCGAGCGGATCACGGCAGATTGCGGCACGGCAGGAGCGAACGAGCAAGCGGATCGCGGCACGGCAGGAGCGAACGCAGATCGCGGCACAGCAGGAACGAGCTACGGATCACGGCAGATCGCGGCGGCAGGAACGCGCGGATGGAACGAGCGGATCGCAGCAGATCGCAGCAGGAGCGAACGAAGGGAGATCGCGGCAGATCAGAGCGAACGAGCGACGGATTTCTTGCTTTTCTTGTAATTGGAGTTGATCGGCTTGAAACAGATGTTCGAAGATGCCGGACGAAGAAGATGTCGGACGAAGATGCCTCACCAGAGAAGATGTCGTAAAACTGAGCACCAGAGGTCCAATCGAAGAGGTCCGATAGAGGGGATTCGATCGGCTTGAAGCAGCGGCAGAACTCAAACAAAGTGGACGAAGACGCCGCAGAACTCAAAGACAAGAATGAGCGCTCCGGTGAGGAAGCAATCGAAGATGCCGGCCAAAGATAACAAAAGCTAAAATTTCAAGGATTCAGGCTCTGATACCATGACAATATTTTGAGTGAATAGGTTGAATGTCTTTTCCTTTGCTTTCATTCCAATAAATAGTAGTTTGTACAATCTATTTTAGGTACATAATATTCAATATAATCTAAATTAAGTAACTTAATTAATACATATTCATAATCTAAATATTCAGCTAAAAGGAAAGAATTCGTGCAAATATAATATTTTTTTTCTTTGCAGTATTGCGAAGAAGGAAACTCTTTATTCTGTCTGATTTCTTTTATTCTTGATTGATAGTATGTGGGGGAAAATTCTCGGGGATTTGCATGCATACCACCCAATTCTTCTATATTTAGGTATCTAACACCTAAATGTTTTTGAACCACACGGGTCAGAGAAGGTGGGGGAAAATCTAGGGGCATTTGCATACATTAATAACCAATTCTTATGTATTTACATATCTAAGACCCAAATTTTATTTTTTACATTTATGCAAACCAAATCTTTAATATCATATCAAATATACCACTATTTTAACTTTCACATATAATTTACTTATTATTGGATTAAATCGACCCAAAACAAGCCAAACAAGATCGACAAAAGTTTATTCATTTTTAGATTGTTTATGAATTGAGTTCAAAAAAATTATCTGTGTTTGGCCTGTTTGCTTGACGAACGAATCAAGGACAAGCTACCTAGCAAGCCAAACACGAGCTATCTGCAAAGAACGGGTTTTTTTTACAACCATACTTTTGACATTTGGATAAATTAAATTAAAAAAATGAAAATTTACAAACGGTAAAACACTCAATTCTTTTGTATGTACATATCTAACACCTAAACTTAATTTTATACATAAATGACCTATGCATGAAAATATGTATTTCACTTTGTAAAAGTTAAAATAGTGATGTTAAAGATTTAGGTGGTATAAATGTGCAAAAGAAAAGTTTAGGTTTTAGATATGTAAATACATAGGAATTGGGTGGTACGTATGTAAATGCCCTGAAAAAAATCATTGGTACTACCTTGTCATGATGGGTTCAGCTTGGTTGGACTTGGAATAATAGTTTTGCTAAATGAACGTGTAAACAATAGAATACCAGAGCTCTAATTGATACTTGATAGATAGTATAAAGGAGTTATAAAGCTTAACAAATTTGATTGAACATCATAAGATTGGTTAACAGTAGAACTAGGCAAGATCAAGCGGTTCAATCTAAAAATAATGACTTTGTCATGCCGTGAAAGAAAAATGGGGCATTTACATACATACATACCACACAATTCCTATGTATTTACATAACTAACACCTAACTTTGCTTTTTACATTTATACCACCCAAATATTTTATATCACATGAAAAATACCACTACTTTAGCTTTCAAAAAGTGAAATACACCTTTTCTTGTATACCTAAGGTGGCATATATGTAAAAAATGAAGTTTAGGCTTTAGATATTTAAATAAATGGTAATGAGTGGCATGTATGTAAATCTTCCAATAAAAAAATAGCTCTAGTAAATTGATTTGCAGAGCTAACAAAATCAAAATATTAAAGTGCATACCTCATCGAACTTGCATCCTAAATCATGCTCAATGCTTCTAACTGTGCGTCGCTGACCTTCAGTGAACATAAGCACTGTAGTCCCCTTATTACCAGCTCGGCCAGTTCTGCCGGATCTATGAAGAAAAATCTCAGAAGTATTTGGAATTTCATAATGAATAACCTGTAATCAATCAAAAATTAGAATCTATTGGCAGGCTAATTGAAAATTTTAGGGGGATATACATACATACGACCCAATTCCTATGCATTTACATATCTAACGCATAAACTTTACTTTTTACACTAACACCATCCAAATCTTTTGTATCACATCAAAAAAGTCACCATTTTAATTTTTGAAAAGTGAAATACACCTTTTAAAGCATGGGTAAGGTAGCATGAATGTAAAAATTGAAATTTAGGCGTTAGATATGTAAATACAAAGGAATTTGGTGGTATATATGTAAATCTTCCAAAATTTTTAAGCTTGATAGGCTGATGTGATGAAGAAGTTTGTTACCAGATCAACATTAGGAATATCAAGACCACGTGCAGCGACATCTGTAGCAACTAATGCATGGAACCGTCCATCACGGAAAGCAGCGAGAGTTTTGTCCCTCTGGGACTGCTGCATGTCTCCATGTAGTGCTTTGCTCCCAATTATAACTCCCATGGACCTCGAGAGAGACTCCGCATCTCTCTTTGTTTTTGTGAAAATTATACTTTTACCTCCTTGAGCATACATCTTTAGCACAAAAGTTTACATGTTAGAGATGATGAATAAGTAAATACAGCTAATATAGTAAACTAAATAATGGAAAAATAATGGTCTCATGTTCACTGGTATGGATCCCGTAAAATCCCATGGACCTCGAGAGAGACTCCGCATCTCTCTTTGTTTTTGTGAAAATTATACTTTTACCTCCTTGAGCATACATCTTTAGCACAAAAGTTTACATGTTAGAGATGATGAATAAGTAAATACAGCTAATATAGTAAACTAAATAATGGAAAAATAATGGTCTCATGTTCACTGGCATGGATCCCCTAAAAAAGAGAAGTGGCCAACAAATAACAAACAGGTCATGAAGATTAATGAAAAGGGAAAAGTGTCTAAATAGCCGCCTAACTCTTTGCATGGGGTCATTCTAGTCCCGGAGTCTACAAAAGTGTCAATTTCGTCCCTAGACTCTTTTAATATGTGCTGAAATAGTTCTCACGAAGAACTATTTTAGCCCCAATTTAAAGATTCTGAGAAATGATTTGGCATTTTATAAACTTTGGGACTAAAATGGCCCCATTAAATAGTCAAGGGACTATTTTGACACATTAATCTAAATAAAAAATGACGACTAGTTTTCGAAAGTAAAAGAATAACATCGACCATCCTTAATAAAAATAATTAAGCGAACCAAAAATCCTCTTGATGAGGATAAAGAAAAACAATCTTCTGTAAAATAACTTGTAGACATGAAAGTTAATTCAAAGTAACAAAAAAGTACAACCAACTTCATATATAAACTTACTGAAATCAAAGTTGGAAGGAGATTTTGTTTGTTAAAAGAGGTTGACGAAATAGAATAGAGGGAGATACCCTCAGCTAACTTTTGAGCAGAGTCTCCAACCTGAGATAAAGCAATGAAAATGATTGGGAATTGTGAAAAATATCATAAACCTCTTTCAAATCAGAGAAATGGCGGAATTAGAAGATAAAGACTAACCAGATCTACTACTATGGGATCCCTCAAATACTTCCTCGACAGATCATGAATCCATTGAGGCATTGTTGCAGAAAATAGCATGCATTGTTTCTCTCTAGGTAGGTAACTTAAAATGCGTTCCACATCCTCCTGAAAGCCTACAGCTAACATCTGATCAGCTTCATCCAGCACAACAAATTTGACTTCAGAAAGATCTAAGGCGCCCCTTTCAAAAAGGTCAATAATTCTCCCCGGTGTTCCAACAACAATATCCATGCCATATCCTAGTGAACGAACTTGGCTCATAATTGGTATTCCTCCATAAATGCAAATACTTCGCAATTTTGGAGCGGAAATTTCGAATTCTCGTTGCACTTGACGTGCTAGCTCGCGTGTAGGGGCCAATACAAGAGCAGAAGGAACACTTTTTTTCCTTCAATACAAAAACAAAAAGATCTATAAATGTAGTTGAAAAAAACTAGGGAAATTTACATACATGCCACATAATTCAAGTATTTATGTATCTAGCACCTATACTTCAATTTTGACATGCATACGACCATACCTATATATGAAAAGATGTATTTCACTTTTAAAATGTTAATAATGATGGGAATTTTGATGTGATGTTAAAAGTTTTCACATTGATAAATATAAACATAAGAGTTTAGATTTTAGATGTGTAAATACATAAAGAATACATATGCCCCAAAAAAACTATCAATTCAAAACTATCGCAACAGCAACAATTGTAAAACCAAAGGGAGAAATAGCATAAAGAAATATAGCGCCGGAATAGTATTAAACATTGAAATACAACAACAAGAAGTTTTATCCCACTAAGTGGGGTCAACTACATGAAACCTTTCTCCATTGCGACCTATTGAGTGTCATATTTTCATTTAATTCTAACTAATTAAGTATTAAACATTGAAATGCTAAACAAAAATTAACCGCTGAATACAATTGCTTAAAAAACTCCTTGTATGTATTTTATCTACAAAGAGAAGTGGCCAACAAATAACAAACAGGTCATGCAGATTAATGAAAAGGGAAAAGTGTCAAAATAGCCTCCTAACTCTTTGCAGGGGGTCATTCTAGTCCCGGAGTGTACAAAAGTGTCAATTTCGTCCCTAGACTCTTTTAATATGTGCTGAAATAGTTCTCACGAAGAACTATTTTAGCCCCAATTTAAAGATTCTGAGAAATGATTTGGCATTTTATAAACTTTGGGACTAAAATGGCCCCATTAAATAGTCAAGGGACTATTTTGACACATTAATCTAAATAAAAAATGACGACTAGTTTTCGAAAGTAAAAGAATAACATCGACCATCCTTAATAAAAATAATTAAGCGAACCAAAAATCCTCTTGATGAGGATAAAGAAAAACAATCTTCTGTAAAATAACTTGTAGACATGAAAGTTAATTCAAAGTAACAAAAAAGTACAACCAACTTCATATATAAACTTACTGAAATCAAAGTTGGAAGGAGATTTTGTTTGTTAAAAGAGGTTGACGAAATAGAATAGAGGGAGATACCCTCAGCTAACTTTTGAGCAGAGTCTCCAACCTGAGATAAAGCAATGAAAATGATTGGGAATTGTGAAAAATATCATAAACCTCTTTCAAATCAGAGAAATGGCGGAATTAGAAGATAAAGACTAACAAGATCTACTACTATGGGATCCCTCAAATACTTCCTCGACAGATCATGAATCCATTGAGGCATTGTTGCAGAAAATAGCATGCATTGTTTCTCTCTAGGTAGGTAACTTAAAATGCGTTCCACATCCTCCTGAAAGCCTACAGCTAACATCTGATCAGCTTCATCCAGCACAACAAATTTGACTTCAGAAAGATCTAAGGCGCCCCTTTCAAAAAGGTCAATAATTCTCCCCGGTGTTCCAACAACAATATCCATGCCATATCCTAGAGAACGAACTTGGCTCATAATTGGTATTCCTCCATAAATGCAAATACTTCGCAATTTTGGAGCGGAAATTTCGAATTCTCGTTGCACTTGACGTGCTAGCTCGCGTGTAGGGGCCAATACAAGAGCAGAAGGAACACTTTTTTTCCTTCAATACAAAAACAAAAAGATCTATAAATGTAGTTGAAAAAAACTAGGGAAATTTACATACATGCCACATAATTCAAGTATTTATGTATCTAGCACCTATACTTCAATTTTGACATGCATACGACCATACCTATATATGAAAAGATGTATTTCACTTTTAAAAAGTTAATAATGACAGTAATTTTGATGTGATGTTAAAAGTTTTCACATTGATAAGGATAAATATAAGAGTTTAGATTTTAGATGTGTAAATACATAAAGAATACATATGCCCCAAAAAAACTATCAATTCAAAACTATCGCAACAGCAACAATTGTAAAACCAAAGGGAGAAATAGCATAAAGAAATATAGCGCCGGAATAGTATTAAACATTGAAATACAACAACAAGAAGTTTTATCCCACTAAGTGGGGTCAACTACATGAAACCTTTCTCCATTGCGACCTATTGAGTGTCATATTTTCATTTAATTCTAACAAATTAAGTATTAAACATTGAAAATGTTAAACAAAAATTAATCACTGAATACAATTGCTTAAAAAACTCCTTGTATGTATTTTATCTACTATTGTGCTTTACATTTTTAGACATTTATCCAGATGTGGTATAGCTTAGTAAACTTCATAGGAAGATTTACATACATACCACTCAATTACTATATATTTATGTATCTAATACCTAAACTTCAATTTTTACATGCATGCCACCTTACCTATGCATAAGAAAGTGTATTTCTTCACTATTTAAAAGTTAAAATAGAGGTATTTTTTATGTGATATGAAAGATTCGGGAGTTATTAATGTAAAAATTAAACATGTAAATACATAGGAATTGGGTGGTATGTTTGCAAATGCCACAAATTTATATAACCCATCTTCTAAATATACCGAAGTTCAATATTTCAATGTTGACAATATACATAGTGAACAACCTAGCACATTAATACCTTGGTTTATAAGAGTGCGTTCACTGACTCCAACTATCAAACCCCAGAAAAATGTCATAATTCCCCCTTGAAAATCACACATTTTTAATAGCATATATGATGGTCTGCATGAGCTACACAATTCCTTGTAAAAACTTGAACATTCCTTTAAACTAAACAAAAATTTATGTAACTTCAGAGAATCATCACTAACAAAAATAAAGGGTTTTTGTAATGCAAAATCACCAATGTGGGAGCCTTATCTGTTTTGCAATGGGCTGAGAGACAAATAAGTGTTGCTAGGAGAGCCCACCAGTGGAAGGCCAAAAGGATCCGTTGGCTGAAGACCAAGATGACCCATTAGCGGAAGACCAGTGGATCTGTTTGACAAGGTGCAACCCCCCCTAAAGTATAGGCCGCGAGATGTGAGTCATCTAGACCAAAGATCGAAGCCAATTAAATCAAGCGGAGACATCGACCCACCTCTCGCCACGACCCAATTGATACAAAAAATTGTTACAGGTTAAACTTTGGAGGTGGTTCCCTACTCATTAGCAACAAGATCTACCGTGAGTGGTCCACAAATCACCTCAGCAATAAGTCACGGTGGTTAGTCCTACGAAGGCAATGCTGAGATTAGCTTAATACGCCTGGTGATAGGTGTGGCCCGTCCAAGACGACGACCCGACCGAACAAACGAGACATATGTAGTATAAAACTAGAGCCGGGCCGTAAACACATCAAAAGCGATCATAAGTCCTTCCTAAGAAACCAAACTATCAACCACCACAAACATTCAACACAATAAAAAAACAAATATGATAAAGGTAAAATGAGAGACAGAAGTAAAATGAAGCCCAAAACTGCATTTCATTTCATAAAATCAAGTAACAATTTTTTTTCTTTATAAAAATCTTAAATAATTTTACAATTGAGCAAGAGAAACATAAAATTTCTAAGTGCAGGAAAGTAACAGCCAAGTCAAGCATAAGACGAGCCTATGCTCGTGAAACCTTCTTCTTGCGGCTCCTCCCCATTATCTATTGCTGATACCAAGAAAAAGAAGAGTTTTTTTTAATTCCTCTAGATCCAATCATTTGAGATCCACCAATCTCGCTCGCATAAACTGGTCGACCGCTAGTTTGGTCCCAAGGCTGAGATGCATAGGCTGACCATTTAAGAACTTTTCTTACGTCTTCATCGTAGCTATATTTTCCGTCAAAGCCTTGTTCTCCTCATCAACGTTAAGTAACCACTAGAAACGCTGCTCAACTCCTCCCCGACTTCCTCTAGTTAAGCCTCAGCCACAGTAGTCTAATGCTTAGCGTACTTCGCCAGCTCCTCAACAGCCCTTGTTCGATCCTTAATGAGTTTAAACCCTCCTCTCGACCCTAAAAGCTCTCTTCTTAGCGTCAAAATATAGCGAGGACTGAAGGTGTGAAGCCTCAAACCACAACAACTGATATCCGTCGACAACATGGCACATGTCCAAAAAATCAAAATCGCAGAGGTATTTCTTGAAGTTTTAGGATCGAAGGGTGTCCGCGATTGTTGAAGCATAAAGGTCGGCACTCGGGGAGTCCGAGTATCAATCCCTCATGTTGAGCATAGCATATCGCAAGTCCTCACTCATGAACACCATCAACCCCTCCTCCTGCATGGGGCATCATTTACACGCTTTCCCCTTCCGTCTTTTTCCGGGAGGTGGGGGAGGAAAGGGGCTCGAGTCGGTGATCTCTTCCTAAGAAGTAATGAGCTCGAACCCTCGCTCGATTTCAGATCGAGCCACTGGGTAGGGTTGATTGGCTTCCCCAATCACCGCGAAACCAATGAAGTTGTAGTAACCGACTAAGGAGTCGGCTTCGTATTTGGTCCTTCCGACTCCTCCTCAAAAATTCTAATCAGAACACTCGGGGTTTACTCTAACTCCCGACATTGCTCTCTCAAAGTACTTGCATTCATCAAAGAAGGTTTTCTTTCATTAAGGGTCAACTTACCAATCGAGATTCTCTGAATTACAATTGTGGTCTCGGAAATGAAATAGATAAAATTCAAACCTCTGGCCCCTTCACCAGCTTGGACAATCGATGTTTGGTAGCCATCCTTGCAACTTCCGGGCAGGTGGCCTACTTCCGTTGCTTCCTCCGAGAAAGACAAGCGGCCTAGTCGATCTCTCGTTGTTCCTCTTAACTGACGAATTTTGCACACAAGGTTGTAATCATAAAATCAATTTTTTTCGGATGTAAACCCGATTCACCACCTTCCCCTTAGTGTACTAGCGAAATAATAGTCGTTTTCCTTCAACATATTGAGCGCCATCTCGAGTTTGGGGAGGCACGTATTTCTTTTTTCTTGTACACTCCTCCGGTCTTGCAAGGCATAATCCCCCACTCGCTAGAGGGCCCTAAGAGGAAGCGCTGCTTTGAGTCCTTTATCTGATTCTCAAGGCCCATTATAGTGAATTTTCTAGTTGACATTTTCCAGTCGATCCAAGAAAAACGAAGTTGTTTGGCTCGACCCAGAAAGAGAACATATAGGAGAAAAGTTCCCTTGACCACGGGATCCCAACTCGGCGACAGTAGATGACATTCTTCATGATGAAAGCAATAGAATTTAGCTTGATCTGGGTCGGGACACGTCATAATGATTGAAAATTGACCACAACTCTTGACAAAATGATTGTCGAAGACCCCATTAGAACTGTTCTCGGTAGAAGACGAGATCTGTCCCGAATTGATTGGTCATCTGATCAGACGGTCCCACGACTCGGAGTTGGACATCCTCATCAAAAATGCAAGTTTCTTGCAACAAAGACACATCCCATAGCGACATGGATAACCTCTCGGCCGTCGGGATCAGCCCGAAGAGCATCGGAGAATGCTTAGAAGCCACTCCAAAGAAAGCAAATAAGGGGAAAATGAAGAAACCGAGAGAAAGAGGCAAAAGAGAGTCCAGGAGTGCAGCACCAAAAAGCCATTGACAATTTAAAAAAAGTGCATCACATCAACACAATATTCGAGAGAGATAATTATAGAAATAAAATTATCAGAAACTAATGGAAGCAGAATTTTATTTAGACGGAAAAATATATTACAAGAGCTTCATTTGCTGCTTCAACCGAAACAAGTCCTAGCAAAAGCAGCTTCCAATACAAAACCTTTCCACCAAACCTAAACATATCTCTATTATCCACTTCGACTTGGAACCGAAGCAAAGAGTCATCAGCTCCTTTGAATGCTTCAGTCTAATGGTTGTCAGCTCCGCCAACAACTCCTTTATTTCTTCCTCTTGCTACATCCCAGCCCCTCGAGTGAAAGAGTCCTTTGTTTTGTCCAAACGACGGGTCAGCGTCACAGAGGACTTCCTCCATCAATCGATCGCCTCCACGCGGATTCCTCGAGAGCTCGTCAGGTGATCGACCATGTTCTCCTCGCTCCTGATTAGTGTCAGTATTCTCTCAACCGGTCCGGGGGGAGGACCTGGCCATCGCCACTCAGAGGAGAGTCAACAATCTCCACCTCCTCTTCTGCATCAAAAAATAATGTCAGTAAAGATGGGAAATTTTCCTCTTAGCCATAGAGTTCGGGTCTCCTCGTACCAAGGAGTCGATCCATCTCAGACCTCTAAAGTGACATACTTCTTTCATCGGGTGGTAGTGGAGTGCTCACGATACTCTGCCCATCAGACGACAATGGAGTACCAGCAATGTTCTGCATTTCGGGCAAAGGGAATCCAACGACTTCCTGCGTAGGAAGCGGTTGATTGGTCATGAGTCGCGGTTGGAAGCTATGTCGATGTGCCAATAGTTGAGCCACCCAAACTCCTTCCTTCCACCTGCTATTTCCCTTGTAGAAGGCCTTGAAGTGAGTCGGACAACCCTACTTCATTCGTCGGCTCGTTCTCCCCCTCCACTCCTAGCAGGCAAGTTGCTTCGTCCGCCTTTTTCCCTATGGCCAACGTCCTCTACCGACCTCTTCTTCCCCTCGGGTCTCTTCTCACTCTTTGGTTTCTTCTATGCCTCAGGCTGAGTCCCAGAGCGGGCAGTCCAAAGGCCCTTATAATATCCTCACTTGGCATAAGATCCAAAAGTTTCCTGTCGCTTGCCATGAATAAGCTCTAAAAGGTGACCTACCAAAACACAAAGATGAAAGAACAAGTAAATAATGAAGGTGTCAATCATGCCAAATTTATAGCAATCTGGGAACGAATATCCACGAACTGCAACTATTAAAGTAATAAATATGAAATAAATAAATCTACTTTTTTCATTTATTATTCTAATTTTTATCACAATTGTCGCTTGCAAAAGGTAAGAGAATCAGTAAGCTAAAATATATACATCAGAAACACGTTAGCACGAATCATGAGGAGATCCAATGGGCTAAGAGACAAAGAAGTACTGCTAGGAAGGCCCGCCAGCGGAACCAAAAAAAGAGCTGGCAGAAGATCAAAAGGACCCACTGACATAAGACCAAGGGACATGTTTGACTAAGCGCAACCCCACTAAAAAAGAGACCCACCCGATGCAAGCCATCCAGGCCAAAGGTTGAAGTCAATCGAATCAAACAAATTCATTGACGTACCTCTCAACAAATTTAATTCAAGAGAAAAGTTCAGCATCACCAACCACCTCACGGACGCTCTCCGAGATTCTTCAAGGAGAGCAAAAGATTGGTAATGACAAGATCCAAGAACAACCTGAAGGACCTCTTATCTAGGTATGAGTTACCTATCAAATTAAGGGGATTCACCTACTGCCCAATAGTCTAACCTCATCCTGTCAACCGAAGCTCCTCATCTAGGGATCAGAAGTCAACAACCGGAGCGGGATAGATGGCAAACGAAATCAAGCCGACCGAGCCAAATCCTGCCGACCCAAAGTCGACCTAGGGTCGACTAAAAATTTCTACCCAACATAGCCGACAGAGAGATATTTGTCAATGGTAGGCTTATATCTGTAAAATATTGAAAATATTCTATAACACCTCCATTAAAGCAGAAGCAAGCAAGACAATGCTTTTTATTCCAATTTGCCCCCCCCCCCCCCCCCTCATCTATAAATTGGGGATCATTTTACAAGAAATGTCTAATCAACATTTTATATTACTGTTCAACTCTCTCTCTTTCTCTCTTTCTCTTTCTCTCTCGCTCTCTCGTTCTCTCTCTCTCTCTCTTTCTCATGTCATACACTTTATTCTTTGAGTGTGATTCACGAACAAACAGGGATTAAACACATATAGTTGTTAGAGAATGATCAATCAGAGATCTTAAGTCTTTCAATGAGAACTCAAACTCTTTGGAGCAGACATAACAATGAAAAAGGATGAAGAAAAAAACTAACCAGCTTTGATTCTGATCCCGGATAATTTTATCCAATATGGGAATGCCAAACGCAAGAGTTTTTCCTGATCCAGTGATAGCCCTTCCAATCATATCACGGCCTTCCAACGCAGGTTCCAAGACAGCTCTCTACAATCATAAAAGGCACTTTAGCAGTGATTTTTAAATGTAAGTTTCGCAAAGTAAAATGCACATCTGTGCAGAAATGATATACTATAAAACTCTCCTCATGTAAATATTTAACAGTGGTAACTCTAGCTCACAATATGCTACGTCTGATTTCCTGGTTACATGATTTATCAACCAGGAGAATCCTAGACGTTCGTGGATTTAAGGGAGCAACAAAAAAAAAAATAAATAAATAAATAAATAATTTAAAAAAAAAAAAAAATAAACAAATT